TCTGTTCTGTGTGATCCTTGAACCGGAGTACAAGGTCCACGACTTCGGAGATAGATCCGTTCTCATTTGGTGATCCGTCAACGTTGAAGACCGGAATCGGAGCGGACAGCTTGCGTCGGGTGAAACCATGGGCATCAGCAAAGCGCGGATGCATGAAGACTCCGGTGGCTCTGCAGTCCACCAGGGCCTGCAGGGTGCATCTGTGTTGTGTATCCGTGCTCTGCACTTCAACGGGTATATCTAGCGAAAGCTTGCCGGGCAGCGCGGAGATCTTATAGCTACTGGGTAGCCGCCGTTCCCACTGCGGGCGAAACCTTCGGAGTGTGCGGATTGTAACCGGAGTTGCTTGCTTAACGTCGGACGAATCATCGGAGTGATTGGAATCGTCTATTTCGTCTACACTAAGACAAGCAAATCGGTTATTTACCAACGAGGTCGCACTGATCACTCGTTGGTCCGGACAAAATCTGCCGTGTCCGATTCCTCAACCGGGGCCGTTCCCTCATCGTCTATTCCTTCCGAAGTCCCCGTACTTTCTACAACGTCGGCCGCGGTCAAGAGATCTTCAATGGCGGACATCCGCTCCTCGGTGGTCATGAACCGGACGTCGTACCGGAGTGGGCACTCGCAAGACATGTGACCGGGCTTGCCGCATCGGTAGCACAGCTGTGAGGTGGCAGGTCGGGAGCGGGTGTGGTCGACATCCATTGGGACACCGGGTGAGAGAGCCTTTGGAGGAGGCGGAAGTTGGAAGCGGGGTTGCAAAGGTGGGAGCTGAGTCCGAGGCGTGGGGAGTACACCCGCAGGAGTCCGAGCGACTCCGGAGCCGGCTGTTGGTCGGACGAGGGATCCGGAGTGTCCGGAGTTTCCGGAGTGCACGCCAAAGTGGAAGGACTGGTCGGCAGCACGGTTGTCAGCAACCCGCTGCGCTGCCTTGTACCATCCTTCGAAGTCATCCTCGTCCGGACAGTCTGCGGACTCGGCAACGCGGCTCTGGATGATGGAGTCCAGTCCGCGACGGAACTTCATCGTGATGTTGGAGCCCTCGGAGTATCCGGACTGGTCTACAAGGTCTCGGAACTCGTCAAGGTACTCCTGGAAAGTCCGACGCCCTTGGTGGTACCGGGTGGACTCCAGCTTGAGCATGGCGGCTTCGCGTTCCCGATCCGGAAGGAAGCGAGTCCGGAATTCGGTCGCGAAGGCGGCCCAGGATTCGAAGTACGGATCCTTCGGACTCCGGAGCACCATGTCCGCGTACTCCTTGGCGCGATCCTTCTGGAAGAAGGAGAGACACCAGAGGATTTTGGCCTGCTCGGTCGGGAAGTGGTCCGGACAGAGCTGGAAGTAGATGGAGCACGCATTGTAGAACGCGCGACCATCCTTGCGGTTTCCGTCAAAGATCGGGGGAGAGGCGGGCTTCAAACGGGAACGCGGGGTGATTTCGGATCGACTCGGGGCGTGCTGGGAGGCTTCAGTGCCCCTCAGCTTGGAGTCCGGAGTCGTTTTCGGAGTAGTCGGACGGGGTGTTAGGAGGAGTCCTTCAATTCGGGCGAGTGTATCCTGGATGGAGCTGATTTGGGTTTGGTGTTTGTACGTCTGAGCCCACAAGGTCTGCAAAGTCTCGGAGTCTGGTCCTGAAGCGACTGGCTCGGATGGCGGGATCTGGCTGGAGGCGCCCGGCATTTCGGAGTCGTCAGGGGAGCAAGGGATGGAGTTCCTTGGGTCCTCAGAGGTGGGTGGGAGTAGCAGGAGAGCGTCCGGAATGTCCGCAAAACCGGAGAGACGTCGAGAACGAGTCCGGAGTGGCGCAGGACGTTTTCCGTAGGGCTCTGGTGCCAGGATGGGAGATCCTGTTCTGCTGTAAGGGCAACCTCAAGATGGCCGACAGCGCAGGCCTAGCAGAGGGAGAATCCAAAGATAGTGAATAAGGCTAACTACAATACATGAGAGGGCTGCTCACCTAGCAGAGGGAGAATCCAAAGAGAACAGGATAAGGATTCTCCATGCTAGGAAGCGAAGTATATACTGTAGTAGCATGAGAGGAATGCAGGATAACTGTACAGTACACCAGCCACAAGTCCGAACAAATATCACAAGGTACAAGGAAACATGTGATAATGAAGTGGAGGGTAAATGCACAGGAGTCGTGCCAGCGACTTGGGGAAGTAAGGGCGAAGAGTAATGAAGTGGGGGAAAAGGATAGAGGTAGCCCGGACGAGCCCCGAAGAGTATAGATGAGTCCGAGCGAGTCCGAAGTGTCCGAGCGAGTCCGAAGTGTCCGAGCGAGTCCGAAGTGTCCGAGACAAGTCCGAGCGAGTCCGAAGTGTCCGAAGTGCGGGAAGACTCCGGAGTCACCGGACACGGCTCGGATGCGAAAGGAGTGGGTGGAAAGGAAGTGGAAAGGAAAGGAAGCGAAAAGGAACGAAGGGGAATGAAGGGAATGTAGGTAAGAGTCCATGGAATGAAGGAAAGGAGAGAAAATAGGAGTGTCCCCTTACAGTCCCGGATCCCATTCCGGGTAGACGCCCTGTCGCTCCGCCACCTCCGCAGCTCATTGACGGAGAAGAAGAGCACGAGGTAGAAGAGGTCCGGAACAGCAGACGGTTTGGTCGGGTCCTGAAGTATCTGGTATGCTGGCGAGGTTATGGCATTGAGCACGACTCCTGGGAGCCCGCGAGCAACCTCCAGCATGCTGCCCAGAAGGTCAAGGACTTCCATGATCGTCATCCGGACGCAGTGCGCTCACTCCGGACGAGTCCGACGAGTCCGATGACCCCTGCACCGCTCCGGATGACTCCTACAGCACTGGACCAGTCCTGGGAGCGTTGGCGCAGTCGGAAGGCTCCGGGCTCTGTGCAGTCGTACTTCGACATCTTCTCGCAGCAGTCCGGAGTTTCGGGGTTGGTGAATTCATGGCGCGGCAGGCAGGAATCTTCGCGTCGGGTCGCCGCAACCTTGAAGGGGGGGTGATGTAAGGGGACACTCCTATTTTCTCTCCTTTCCTTCATTCCATGGACTCTTACCTACATTTCCTTCGTTCCCCTTTGTTCCTTTTCGCTTCCTTTCCTTTCCACTTCCTTTCCGCCCACTCCTTTCACATCCGAGCCACGTCCGGTGACTCCGGAGTCTTCCCGCGCCTCGGACTCGCCTCGGACTCGCTTCGGACACCTCGGACTCGCTTTGGACACTTCGGACTCGCTCGGACTCGTAGATACACTCCGGGGCTCGTCCGGGCTACCTCTATCCTCCTTTCCCACTTCATTACTCCTTGTCCCCACTTCCCCAGGTCGCTGGCACGACTCCTGTACATTCCCCTTCCACTTCATTATCACATGCTTCCTTGTACCTTGTGATATTCGCTCGGACTTGTGGCTGGTGTACTGTACAGTTATCCTGCATTCCTCTCACGCTACTACAGTATATACTTCGCCTCCTAGCATGGAGAATCCTTATCCTGTTCTCTTTGGATTCTCCCTCTGCTAGGTGAGCAGCTCTCTCATGTATTGTAGTTAGTCTTACTCATATATTCTCCCTCTGCTAGGCCTGCGCTGTCAGCCATCTTGAGGTTGCCCTTACAACTATCAAGCGAATGCAATTTACTTTCAACGTTGATCAGGTGCATCTTTCGCTGACCGCATCACTGTAAAGCTCGATGCATGACAGATAGTGAGCTTGATGCTCACCTTGGCACAAGAGATTGCTTCGCATAAAACGGACTTGAACAAACGGGAATATGGGCTGGGATGCCATGCGAACACCCACCAAGGCAGCAATTGAATGTGAAGGCCGCCCCCAAGGAGCACGTTGCGCTCTCCCACATGTTCGGGTGAAGTTCACCTGAATGGCCGAACAACACCTGAACAACACCTGAACAACACCTGAACAGAATCCGAACATTGGCTGAATTTCTCCACCAAAACTCTTTTTTTTGGTTCAGATTTTGTTCAGGTCACCTGAATTGTTCACCTGAACATTTGGTGAATTCAGGTGAATTTGACAGGTAATGTTCACCTGAATGTTAGGTGAATTCAGGTGGAATACATTAGTACTGCTTCTTGTTGCAGGAATTCTTGAATAATGGCTCTTTGTAAGTGGGAAAACTGTTCAAAGAGGTCAACAATACTTCTTCCTAAGAATATCTTTTACTCTGAACACTGTTCTACTAACATATAGTATATTGTTACAGTGGGAAAATATCACCCAAAATAGAAGTTGTAGAGCCATCTTTTCCAACTCTGCTGGTATAGATAGCATTGTGAGAACTTGACTTATTAGTGAGAAAAATGTAAATTACTTGAAAAAACAGGGAAAGTTTTCAGTTTTCTTACTGTATAGACTGTTTAAGAGGTCTACTACATTTATCAGCAGTTGTTTTGTCAATGCTAAACACTCATTATGCTGAAGAAAGAGGTTCCTGACGTTTCCACAGTAACAAGAATTTTCCCATGGTCAGTATTAAACTTAGTGAATACTTTTGGGAAAGACCAAGATACTTTTTGTAGGGTATATCAACCTGGTTATGTGACTGTTTGTAGAATTCTCATGAGCTACTTTCATTGTTCTGCAGTAGTTGATAGAAATAGTAGAATCACATAGAAATGACACCATGGATGACAACCATATTGATGAGACCATATTCAGGTGTTGTTTGTATGTGGTTCAGATGATGTTTGGGTAATGTTCATGTAATGTTCAGATAATGTTCAGGTGATGTTCAGATGCTGCTCAGATGACATTCATCTGACATTCAGATAGAATTTGGATGATCTCTGTTCACCTGAACATCACCTGAACATCACCTGAACACCATCTGAACATAATCTGAACCTGAACAAAGGCTACAAACAGAATCTGAACATTACCTGAACATTTGGTGAAATTCACCTGAACAGTATCTGAACAATACCTGAATACCCGAACATCACCTGAACGTCAGATGAACATGTGGTGGACTGCAACATACACCCGTTCCCAGCCTGCCCGATTAGCTGGTGCGGCACATGCTGTTCAACAATGCGCTGTCTGGGGTGATCAGCTTCATCCCGTTCATGGGGGACATGCTGCTGGTGATCGTGAAAGCAAACTCACGGAACACGGCGCTGCTGGAGGAGTTCCTGCGTGTGCGGGGCAAGGAGTTCATCGCGATCTGGGTGGAGGGCGGGGACCTGGATAAGATCCAGAAAGAGGCGGCGAAAGCAGCAAGGAAGCATTGGGGTGGCAGCAAGAAGGGGAAGAGGCAGGGCGGTCAGAGGAGATCGTGCCCGGGGTTACAAAGCGCGACACGGCACAGGTGCAGCCGGGCGCAGGGTGTGTGCAGGGCGAGACAACTGGGGGAAACAGTCATTAGCCTGCTGCATCACTGACTCCTTCATGGCGCTGACGTCCCACATGTGTTTGTTTTTGTTTTTCTCATACAGGGCTGGCACCTGCTAGTGCGGCAAGCATGCCTGCCACGCCTGCCAGCAGCGGTGCGAACTCGAAGTTGGCATCCTCCAAGTTGGTTGGGAAGAAGGGGTTTGGGCTTACATGGGGGCGGAAGCAGGGCACGGCGGACGGGGAAGGGGAAGGGGGAAGGGAGGGAAGGAAAAGGAAAAGAAATAAGGAACAAAAATGACAAGGATATGCACGACTTTGCATTTGAACTTGCGTTAGAAGGGAGCCCGATGGCTCTTCAGCGTGTTCTCCATGCTGCATTGACGAGGTGAGTTGGCGGGGCGCAGTTGCATTGTACATTGGGACTTGCTTACATCGTTGTTGTAGGAAACAGTGACATGGGCGCAGAGGGGTGAAATGTGTCGAGTGTCGTCAACATTGGAGGTAAGACAAAAGGCTAACTAAAGGATAGACGGGTTAGAATGGAAGGAGCAAGGAGGAGGAACAAAACAGGGGGAATAGAATGGAATGTGAATGAAGGAACGAACAAAAGGAATAGTGAAGGAAATGAAGACGAACACAGTGGGATGGGAGAGAGAAGAGAGTGACAACAAAGCAAAAGGGAGGGCAAATAGTAGTTGTGAGAGATACATACCATTTATTCCTGGCTGCCCATTCCATCACGCTGACAATGCACTCGTTGTAGGTGATTGAGGTGTTCGCATTGGCGTCATCAAGAGCAGTCGCATGTGACACATTGTGTTGGCAATAGACACACTGTAGGTAACTGAAAATCCAAAATGTATCATCATGACTAGATAGGTTCTAAACAAACGGGTTTGATACTACTCACTTTGCATGCATGCATGCATGGCTGGTCAATGGAGACGGCAAGGCTGTTGGATGCTAGAGTGCATCTGGATGAGCGAGGGTTAATTGTGGAGTGGGGTGTGGAGTGATGTAGACAGCAGGAAGGTACACACAAGTTCAGTGTTTGCTTGTTCGTTGGTGTGTATTGATGGTGTTGGTCCTTTGTTCCTAGATTCATGTCCACATGAATGACTTGGTAGACGGTCCATGCTGTCTCTTACTCAATCAGTCCTGCATCAGGTCAACGATCTGGTATTCACTCACTTGCTCAGAAAGGCCTCTCTTGTTGTTGGATTACATACGCACTCAAGGCACTCGTCCATGGCCCTCTTCTACCTGGATTCTCGCCGTCAGACTGACTTGAGGTGCTTGAAACAGGCACAACTTGGATTGTGAGTTGTCCTGAACTCACAGAGGACACCATTGTTTGGGAGCACATTTGCACTGTCCTCAGATATTCATGCGCCACTCATACCTCACACTCTTCTTCCTGTCCACCATCTCCACCACTGACCCGGGCTTGGTGTGTCCACATATCTATGGCTATGTCTACATCTATTAACCACCCCGTCCCAACAACATCCCAGTTCTGGCTTCAACATGTGCAAGTTCACCGTCCATCATCTTCATTTCGCTGACTGTTGGCAACTTCCTCAGCGCCGGCACACTTGTTGACGCTGACAATGTGTACCAGTACTCAAGGCGCAGAGAACATGTCGGCATGCCGCTGTTCCTGAGTCAGTGGCATACCAGATGGGGTGTATAGCTTATGGTGTCTACAGTCTACGGGCTAGCATGTCTGCAAGATTGCCACTTGTTTCGTCAAGTTCATCACCACGGACATCGCACGCAACTACATCTATTCTGTGTGGACCAACCTGGTGAGTTTACTCTGGTTTTCCCAAAGAAACTGACGGCTGTGACTTACACAGTGAGCTAGTGTGTTGTCGAGCGCATGGGACACACAAGATGAGGTAGGGGCGCCGTTTGGGGGTGCTACGAGTTGGTTAGCAAGGTCCAAGTGCGTTGCAACAATTGAACTCACTATTGTGTCTGTTAGTCCGCTCTTGTGGCATCACTGTTCTCACCACACCATCATTTATGGCCGCTCCACCATCTCTTGTCTTCGTGCATGGTGATGGACAAGGCTAACTTTGTACCAAGTGGCTGTTTTCTTGGTGTCTTCTGCCTGGACTCTCTGGCATTACAACATGCAGCACCGTACGGATACCATGCAACCACCCCCGACATCATGAAGACTAAATGTTTCTACGCCATTTTACCTGTAGGAGTTAAAGGCACAACAATGCAGGTGAGTACGGGGTCATCTCAGGCAACAGTGACAACGACTTACCTTTGTGTAAGTGTAGGTAGCTACACAATTGGGAGTGGACGAGACAACGAGTTGGCAAGAACACACATGTCAAGTAGTAAGTAATGAAGCTAGTGTATCTGATCCTGCGCTATCACTGCTGCTGCACGTTGAATACAATATGTGTATGCACAGCTGGAACAGAGTGTTGATGACAAGAGAATCTGCATGTGTGCATGAAGTCTATGTGCCGGCATCCTGCCTGCCTACTTACAATCAATTTTGCAACCTGAAGAGTGAAGAGCCGAGACAGTTATGAGGAGGTATTAACATGCTCTTCAGGGATGAATAGGAGCTTTCCCCTGAACCCTTTCAGAATAGTGTTCGGCGCCAATGCCTGTGCATCTCCTCCACTCTGCAGTGGCTACATCCACTATGCTGAATCAATACAAGCCAATCCGTAAGCCCTTCCCTTCTTTTTTCCACCATTCCAATGGAGGATCCAGCGCCTACCAATGAAATTCAAGAATATATCACCTTTTTTTATCGGTGCCGTCTGAATGACGTAGAGATTGCAAAGGAGATGAAGGATCATTACAACCAGGATAAGTATGGCCTGAGGTGTGTTATTTTATCTGCTGTGATGTCTTATAATCACTTACACTTTTGCAGTGTCACCTCTGTGAAGTGTGTCCAAAAATCTTTGGGGCTGTTGAGTATGAGGCAGCAAAAGCATAATGTGGATTCCATCCAGAGGCAGATTGAAGAGACTTGTGCACGCTTCCCTACCCGTGGAATTGAGAACATCTGAAAGTCTTTGCACACTGACTATGGCATGTTTGTACCAAGGTGCTTCGCTATGAGTGTTCGCTTCTAAAACTTGCTAATCTGCGCTATCTTAGGCCCCTGATTGCCAAATTTCTCAAACAGACTGAGCCCAAGGCTGTCAAGCAACGCAAGGCCCATTGACTTGTCCGTAAGCGGTACTGGGCAGCTTGTGTGAACAATACTTGGTCTCAAGATCAACATGACAAATGGGGGTGTTTCGGTCTATGGCTTCATGCCTGTGTCAATGTATTCAGCGGCTACATAATTTGGATCAAGATCTGGTGGAATAACCAGAACCCACGGATTGTATGCAGCTGGTACATTGATGCTGCTCGCAAGCTTGGTGGTATGTACCTCTGAGGATGCAAGAACAATCACTTACCTGTATTGTAGCCATTCCGCTGGTGACCCAGAGTGATCCTGGCACGGAGAACTATGGTGTTGCTAACACACAGACTGTCATGCGCCACTTGATGGATCCTTCACTTGCAGATATCATGCAGCATTGATGGATGCATAAAAAACAAAACATCAAAGCCGAGATCGTGTGGTCACTGCCTCAACATGATTGGACCCCAGGATTTGAGGACACCCTAGACAAGGGAGTGAATCAAGGCTGGTATAAGGCTACTGATCCATTGGAGAGGTATAGTCACCCATCTTCATGTCGCTTGCAGGCTCTTTTATGTACTGATGCCATCTTCAGCTTGTTGTTTTGCTGGCTCACTATCCCTTGGCTTCAAGCTGAGCTTGACTCTTGGATAGTCATGCGCAACTTCAATGTGCCTCGTGCAGATAAGAACAAGGTGCTACCACATGGCGTACCAGAGATGGTCTACTCAAAACCGGAGTCCTTTGGTGTGCTTGACTTCAAGGTAAGTTATAGTCTGGGCCAGGTTTCTGTTGCCGTTCCCATGGCCATCACAGATACCTGTAAGCTCTGATTTAGTCGACCAAGCTGAGCAGGATCATGCTCCTCCTGGACATGAAGTGCAGGAGTTGGTTCTGCCAATCTTTGCTGCCCTTGTACATGAGCTTTACACAAAGCTAGGCAATCCTCCAGTCACCTCTGCATCGTTCTGGGATGTATACAAGACCATGCTCTGGGAATTTCGCAACACACCTACCTCCCTGTCCCATTCAATTGCTTCTGTCCTTACTGCATTCGACGCTTCAAAGCATGTTGCTCCTCCTGATCCAGAGAACCCTCTGTCAGAGAACATTGTCCCATTGTTGCCTGGACTAAAGAAGCTTCGAGCAGGAGACAACATGGTAGGAGAGCTGCCAGAGGGCTTCATGTACATTGGGGGCCTCTCAAAGCCAATCATCCCTCCTAGTATTGCAGAGGCGGCAGCAAAATTCACTATGGTGGCGCAGAAGGGCAAAACTAAGGGGTCAAAACAGGGGTCAAACAGTCGAACGAGTGCAAGCAGTCACAGTATAGCTTCAGAATACTCCAAGGCTTCATTTCATGCTGATTTTACACCTTCCAATAGTGATGGCTCTAGCGATGAGCTTGCCTTTTAGCAACAGTAGTGTACAATAAGTATGCTACAACAGCCAAATGATAGCTGTAACGTTCCTGATTGTATGATCGTACAACTGTATTGTTTTTAAATTAGTCAGCCTCGAATACCTGGTGCAAGAAAATCACTATCTTCAACTCAACTATTATGGCCGACTTCACTGAACTCAACCTCCACACAATTTGTGACCGATGCAATGTCATTTTTAAAAAGGAAGAACTGCAGTATGTTGTTGGTCAAGTCAAAGGAACAGGCCAACGACTTTGTCTTGTTTGCAAGCTCTACTACTCTGTGAAAGCAAACAATAGTGGCGAGTTTCTGCTATTGAACTGATGGCATTTACTGAATTAAACCCCCAGATAAAACACTGAGTGCATCTGAGTTGCAGAATATTGCGCAACAAGTTGCTAAAGGCCAGCATGGAGGTATGTAAGTGAGTTGCTATATTTCAATAACTACCTCTAAGTCATTTTAGATTCCAAGCTCAAGGTCCAAGCAGTGGGGCGGCCTTTTCATTCGCTTCAGGACATCCACACCCCTAGCTGCTCTATGAGACCACCTCTGGTTCCACAGCCGCAAGTCCTCACACCTGCCAGTATCAATGCTGGCTCGATGCTACCTTTTCCGAGGATCAGTTCCGATTTGTTCCCCCAATTTGTTGAATATCAGCAAGCACACACAAAGTTCAATGAACTTCGGGCTCACTTTGCAAAGCTGGCATATGCACATGGTGGCACAGGCAAGATCACTGTGAGTGTCTGCTTGGCTACTTGGATACCAGACAAAAAGAATGGCCTGAAACCCATCTCTGTGAGTAGGCAGCCATTCATGCATATGTTTCACCCTTTCTAAATTGGTGGCCATCTCAATAGGAGCCTCGGGACCTGCAGCATGTTTTGCCAGACATTGGAGTTGACGACTTGAAAAGCATGGCAATCATAGCCATCTGGGAGTCTTACTGCCAATGGTCCCATGATTATCCCATTTCCTTCAGCAGCCTTGGTCTTCGTGACGCTGACTGGCATGAACTTGTCCCTATTTGTAAGGGCAACCTCAAGATGGCCGACAGTGCAGGCCTAGCAGAGGGAGAATATATGAGTAAGACTAACTACAATACATGAGAGAGCTGCTCACCTAGCAGAGGGAGAATCCAAAGAGAACAGGATAAGGATTCTCCATGCTAGGAGGCGAAGTATATACTGTAGTAGCGTGAGAGGAATGCAGGATAACTGTACAGTACACCAGCCACAAGTCCGAGCGAATATCACAAGGTACAAGGAAGCATGTGATAATGAAGTGGAGGGTAAATGCACAGGAGTCGTGCCAGCGACTTGGGGAAGTAAGGGCAAAGGGTAACGAAGTGGGGAAAGAGGATAGAGGTAACCCGGACGAGCCCCAAAGAGTATAGATGAGTCCGAGCGAGTCCGAAGTGTCCAAAGCGAGTCCGAGGTGTCCGAAGCGAGTCCGAGCGAGTCCGAGGTGTCCGAAGCGAGTCCGAGCGAGTCCGAAGTGCGGGAAGACTCCGGAGTCACCGGACGTGGCTCGGATGCGAAAGGAGTGGGCAGAAAGGAAGTGGAAAGGAAAGGAAGCGAAAAGGAACAAAGGGGAACAAAGGAAATGTAGGTAAGAGTCCATGAGATGAAGAAAAGGAGAGGAAATAGGAGTGTCCCCTTACAGCACCTTTCAACATCCCCCAGATGCACTTTGTTGATGCAGCGCTGGCAAATTCTAATGAGGTGGACGGCGTCAAGAAGTCTTATCTCATTGAGGAGGTCATCGATGGGAAGTTCATCAAGTACATCAACAATGACAGCCCAGAGCTTCTTCCAATGGAGAATCTGGATCAGGAACGACGAGCAAAGTTCTTTGCCTTTGCTCAGCATGTTCAGTATTTCAAGACAGAGTCTGTTTTCATTTCTGATCTTCAAGGTAAGCATGTTGGCAATCAAGGAGGTGCTATTGTCCACTAACATGCCTCTCAGATGGTGATACTCTTCTCACTGACCCTCAAATCACAACCAATCCGTGAGTGGCTCTACCTTTCTTGCTTTTCAGCAAGTAGCTGAAACTCGAACAGCAGTATCACCAAAGGACAGATCTTTGTGTCTGGCAACCTGCCCAGCGCATTTACGAACTTCAAAAGGCTCCATACCTGCAACTATTTTTGCAAGTGGTATAAACTACACTCTCTGTTGCTTCCTTTCTCCAACTCTAAGTCCCATAGTAAGCAGCCTCTCTTTGTAGGATCTGTTGATTCACCAGATAAGATAGCTTAACTATGTATAGCTAAAATACAATACCAAAAGCCTTGTCTAGACCTACTTCTTAGCTACAAATGATAACAGAATGGCCTTTGAACAAAACGAAACGAACAAACAAAACCGAGTATCATTACTACAGTCACACCATGTCACAGTCACTCAGCTAGAATGGTGGGTGCGACTTACTTTGATCAGTAGTGCCAGCGGATTCAGTTTGATGATGCCAATCTGCTGTGTATATGTGTATCACACACACCCAGCACTGTTGGAGGCTTAACGGTCCATCCTGTGGCTCAAATTACATGCTCTATAGTCAATCCACGGTGCGGAGTTTGTTATTTGTCAATGTTTGTCTGGCTGGCGCTTCAAGGTTCCTGCTCAGTACGAAGCAAGGTCTGACTCTCATGATGAACAAGACACTGTGGGGTTTTTTTTAAAATCATCTTGCTACTTAACAGTATCACACTCCATACATCATATAAACTAATGCTATTGGTCCATCCAGTCATGGTTACATTTGACTGGCGACTCAAGTGAGTGCCATGTTTGTGCATGTTTGCCTCATGTAAGTGCACTCTCTACATACCAACCAGTGACTATGGCTTTGGTCAGCCACAATGGCCATGGATTCACTTTCTCTGCTTAGTGAGTCTATTCATGATTATTATAGACTGCCTGTATCATTCTTTGACCTTGCTGGTCCATCCCCCCTCTTAGAGCACCAACTTGTGCGATGATTTGAGCACTAGATATTTGTACATATTTGTACCTACTTCAGGAAGCGCGTGTCTAACTCGGGGGCCTTGTGCCAAGGAATAAACAACTCGGACCTTTCAAGCTGGTGAAGACCAGATCAGTCTTGCTTTCCATAGGTTTTAGGAGCCTGAATCATGACCTGGTTGGCCGACCATGTCTGACCTAGGTCATGACAACACTGGTTGCTGGGACCCAGAGCGGCCGAGTTACTTACCGTGGAGCGAAGGCTTGTTTACATGTGGCATATGCTGGGTTGCTGAATGGCATACAATAGAAGTTCTCCCTGCTGACACAGAGCAGTGTTTATCATCTTACATATCATATAACTCTGTGTGCCTCCATCGTTGCATGGCGGCTGCTGGCACAGATGGTTATGCAGCACCCAGGGGTGTTATCACCACACAGGAGTTGTGGACCCTGGCTAATGATGTATTTACAGTGAGACACGAGGATACAGGACACAGTACATATAAGGAGATGTACACAACTCGAGCCAATCAACCAAAACAAATCCTCATGGCATCAGCTGAAACCCTGACTAACTCTGCAACTTTTCTGTGTTTATGAGCCACATTTCCAGCGGGATTCTCGATCCCATATCCCCAGAGGTATTTGGTTGCATCGTTTGCAGAGAGGGCATCAATTGAAGCAAGATTTGTCAAATGGGGAAGATGAGCACCTGGCATTTCTCCGTTGTTGAAAGGTATAATTTTGTACTCTATAGCACCTTCAGACCATGAGCCGTTGAGCACCTGTTGTGGTGGTCATGAGGAGGGGGAGATTTCTGCAACGACAAAAGGGCTCACTTTGAGGGCTGATCAAGTGGCACTGTGGATTTCTAGCTTGAGTTGATTTTCCATATTGTCCATCTTCTGATTGAGTCAATTTTCCATGTCTATGTTAAGAGCCACACTTGCAAGGGCTCGGGATACGCGGACCCACCGGTGCGCGGTTCTACATAGAGGCGTGGAGGAGAACGAGGGGAGCAAGGATGTACGGGCTTGGCTTCAGCTACTGGCTGCGCCTCCCACACTCTTGCGTGCCCTGTATTTCCAGAGGGAGTCCTGCGCGGGTACTGAGGGTACGGGCAGAGGCGAGGGGATGCAACGGGAAGACCTCAATAGAGAGGCGAGGGTGCGAGTGCGGAAAGGAACTAATATTTGAACTGAGGTAACTGTATGTACAGTACAGGAATATATACTAGGGAACACGTGGCGTCCGCGCATTCACAAAACAGCAATGAGTCCGGTGGGAATAAGTACAGCATGCTCGAATATGTACAAGTCCATAGTCTGTGACATGTCCGTGTAGCCGTGTGTGTGCGTGGCCCAGGTCTGTAGCTGGAAATGCCTGTCATAGCCCCTAAGGGGCCTCCTGGACGCGCCTATAACAGTCTAGCAGCAATTGCGCAAATGCAGTGTTGGTGGGTGCTAATAAGTTCAACTTTTGATTTAGAGCATTATCCAAGCCAAAGAAGGAGAATAGATACCCGAAATATTGTTGTATCTGGCAAATGTGGCCAGCTGTATTGCTCACGCTTTCACATTCATAGCTTTGTCAATCTGAACATGCCGGGGATCATCTGCAGGGAGCCCTAGAACATTATACAGTATGTTTTGTGGGTGACTGTAACAGCAGAATTTGCGAACCAGTGAATGCATTGAGAACAGCTGCATGACGATGGGTGTTGCTGAAGTTGGTGGGGTTATGAAGGGGTTGAATCTCCACATATTGCTGGGCATCCATCCTCCCCTCAACCTCAACCATTCTCCCCATCCCATTCCATCCCATCACCCCCCAGACCATAATATTTTCACCCCCATGCTTGACAGTTCCTTCAACCTCCTGATCCTGCAAAGGTGCCCCCTTCTGTTTCCAAACCCATTTCCTACCATCTGACCCAAATTTGTTGATTTTAGTTTCATCTGACCACAATACCCTCTTGAAGTCCTCCACTGTCCAATCCCTGTCCTTTAAAGCCCAAGCAAGACATGCTTTCCGATGTTTGACCGATAGAAAGGGTTTTTTCTTCTTCACCACAGCCTTCATATTGTTTTTCTTGAGGACATTGCGCACAGTTTGTGTGGAGACAGGGTCACTGAGGACTTTGTTCAAGTTTCTGGTGACCTGAACAGCATTCTCAGCTTTTCCAGAGTTGATTTGGCTGATGATTGCCCTCTCATCAAGCTTCTTAGGACATCCACCCACCAGGTTTTCCTTATTAGGGATTACTTGGTGAGCTACCCTAGAGACAGTAGCTGCACTACAACCCATCTTGAGAGCAATCTTGACCTGAGAATGGCTGGTATTAAGAAGGGCAGAGGTGATATTGGTGTGAAGGGAGTCGGAAATGGACTTCATTGTTGTAGGGAAGATGAACAACTAACAGAGCTTATATATAGTGTTGGTTGTGCCTGGATGAGTAATAGCCAGGAACAAGGCATTCAGGAACTACACTCAAAAAACCCTTTCAATGCATCCCTTGATTAGAGATTCTGTAGAATATTCTAGACTTATTCGCTTGACTTGAATCAAGATTTGTCATCTAGCTGAAAAGGGGCACTACAAACGCTACACTAACCCTAAGCTACCATTTTCAGTAGTTCCTCCATTATTCAGTGTTTTGTGCAAAAGTGACCAACATAGAAAGGGTTTTTAAGTCACTGTATATTAAGTCTTGATCCGTGTGAACTTGGAGCTTAGGTAATCTTAGGTAAGCAGCAAATGGCCAACTGTTGTGCACACTTCTTCTGTGTGAGGATACAGGAATAGGAGATAGGAGAGGATGTCTTGCAAGTAAGATTCTGCTGAGAAGGGGGGAATATATAAGCCATAGAGTATAAATATGGGTAGTCCATTACACAAGCCTCTGAATGAGCTGAACAGGGTCTGTGAAGGCTTGAGGTTTGTCTTATGGGTGCTATATAGAATGATAGTACAGATGTAAATCTCATCATGAAATGAACTCAGTGTATGTAGATCAATATATACTTCAGAACTAATTACATGAGATGTAGTATGATATATTCAATTGATTACCACAATAATGAAGCTCAAATAATGGAGTAAAGGTTGGGGCAACCAGAGAGGGTAGCTAAAGCTACTCAACTTCCATGCCCTAAGCACTGAGTTTGGCTTTGGGCTCAGCATAGCATAGATACTACGAGATTGCATGATTATAGCTGTGGCAGAATAAAATTTCATTTGTCAGGCTTGAATGACAAATTCATAAACTAAAGCATTTCAAGTTCAGGGTGACAGGGGATACACAGTAGGAAATAGGAGGCACAGTAACTAAACTCAGTTGTTGTGGGACAAATGGGGGGTACTTGGACATAGAATGTTAAATAGAATGGGGGCTGTAAGCAACTACATTGAGCGCTTTGACAAGTGCTAATAATAATAGCCTACACTCCTCAGCACAAATTAAGAGGGAATGATGGTGGGAAGTGGTATATATGATGGCCAAAGTCTTAAATTGATATATAAAGTCAATGTAAGTGAGTGGTTAGCATATTGGGTGCACAACAATGGTGAGGCATTAAGTAAACTGTACCCTAATGACCTTCCTCCAAGCACCTTATTTTCCATGAGACACACTTACCAACCAGAATGCATCTAATCTAAGAAATAGAGCATGCCCCCTTAGTTTGTCTGTGGTCAATGGTTTTCTTGATAGGTATTTCTCTCTCTGTACCTATACTTTTGATGTGAATTTCTACCCCTTGCCCTATTGATTCCCTGTAGCCATTCAAGTTCTTACATGTACACACTATATACTATATGCTCAATATGCCATTATCCTCTTATATAGTATATCTCAATTATAGACTTACAGAAACTGTACAACAAAGAAAGTGAATACTGTCTTTGAGCCAAAGGCAGAACAGGGGCACAAGCAGACCCATAAAGTTGTCACGCGCCAACCGCTCTTGAACTCAAACCATCACCATCTCTGGGTTTCCCATGGTTGATTTCCAGTTCTCGAGGCCCGTTGTCAGCCATGTACAGGCTCCTACAGCCATTCTCACACTACAATGATGAGGGAAGGCAGCACGGTTCCTGCCAGAGGGTGCTCCTTCTTTAAGGAGCCTAAATGAGTGTTCACGCCCTCTGAGTCCTGGAAAGACTGGAAACTTCCCAGTGCCAACCACTGTCGGTGCCCCCTTGGTAAAGGAGCTTAAAGTGGATGTAGCCACACCCTCCAGTCCTGGAATGACTTTAAACTTCCCTCTCTATGGCTAATATGCCCTATGCTAAACACCACCCGACCAACCATTATCCTGCTCAAAGTCGCTGCATAACACCGGGAACTACTCCAAACACGGCCCAACCCCAATTTGACCAACCCTACTTGTAACAACCGGGTGCAGTGTTAATTCGTTGTACTCAACTCACACCGCGTCTTAGTTACGGGTCCTGTAATGAAATGAAAGGAACCGTTCTTTATTTGGGTGGGGGCTTTGGGCGCTTCCTTAAGTGGACAGCTACTGTTGTAGCTGGTAGCTGGTCATCAGGAATCTCGGGATCTTGTTTAATTTTAATTTAATTTAATCTAATTTTGTATTCAATGTTAATTCAATTCAATCAGCCTTTCCTCACTTGTACACGTGGGAGAGCTTCCAAAGCTAAATGAGAGTTAGCACCGGAGATCATGTAAGTTGCCATATTAATCAATATTCAGGGGGAGCCTCAGGGGAGCCCCTCAAAACACTGCTCAGTAGCCATACTCACTGTTTCATTTATGCTCATATTGTAGACTTACACTCTGGCATTAAATATGATATTTCACATGTATCATATTAACTCTGTAATATCAGTAGTGTAATAGAGTGTCAAGAGAGTCAACAAATTGTCAACAATGGCAATTTCAGATGAACATGGTTGATCAGTACATGTGGATAAGTCTGATAATATATGATTCAACTAACTAGCAGAGATATGCACATCTGTAGAGTGGATAACTAGTTTTACATGACAAGTGTAGTAGTTATTCCCAGGAATATGTTTGAATTGGTATTTCAAGTAATTAGATCAATCACTGTCTGTAAGGAGACACTCCTATTTTCTCCTATTCTCCTGTCCCTCTCCCTTCCTCCTCGTTCCTTTCTCTTTTCCTTCATCCCACGGACTCTTACATACATCCCTTTCGTTCCCTTTCCTTTCCACTTCCTTTCCGCCCACTTCCTTCGCCTCCGAGTCACGTCAAAGTCTTCCCACACTTCGGACACTTTGGACTTGCTCGGACTTGTCTATACTCTTTGGGGCTTGTCCGGGTTACCTCTGTCCTCCTTCCCTGCTTCATTACTCTTTGCCCTTACTCCCCCAGGTCACTGGCACGACTCCTGTACATTCCCCTTCCACTTCATTATCACATGCCCCCCGGTACCTTGTGATATTTGTTTGGACTTGTGGCTGGTGTACTGTACAGTTATTCTTCATTCCTCCCACACTACTACAGTATATACTTCGCTTCCTAGCATGAAGAATCCTTATCCTGTTCTCTTTGGATTCTCCCTCTGCTAGGTGAGCAGCTCTCTCATGTATTGTAGTTAGACTTATTCATATCTTTGGATTCTACCTCTGCTAGGCTTGCACTGTGAGGCCATCTTGAGGTTGCCCTTACACTGTCTTACTATACAGTAGAATAGCATCTAAATCCTGGAGTAGCTGGAGGCAAAAAAGCAGCACTGTACATTTACAAGAGTCCACTGTTATTGAATGGAGAAAGAGTATATGAATATGAGTTCTCAGCAATTTGAGTAATGTTTTTGAATCTCCTATACTCTGTATATGTTATAGGCGCATCCAGGAGGCCCCTTAGGGGCTACTAGGGGCGTATTTGTGTGCACTCTGGCTATGGGCTCAGGCCACATATACTTGTGGTTACTTGGACTTCTCGGATTATGGACTAAATACATATCCGAGCACACTGTACTTATTATGACCGGACTACTAACTGTCTCATGAACACATGGCTACTGTGTTCCTCAGTATATAGTCTTGTACTGTACCTACAGTTACCTCAGTTTGGATTTAGTTCCTTTCTGCACTCACATCCTCACCTTTCTACTGAGGCCTCTCCCTCACATCCCCTCGCCTCCGCTTGTACCCTCGGTACCCGTGTAGGATCCCCTCTGGAAATACAGGGCACACAAGAGTGTGGGAGGCGCAGCCAGTAGCTGAAGCCAAGCCTGTATGTCCTCGCCTCTATGTGGAACCGCGCACCCGCAGGTCCACGTATTCTCAAGTCCCTCTGTGAGTGTGGCTCTTAACACAGGCCTGAAGTCTGTTATATGTTATTGCTTACCACTATTCTTTCTGCAATTGCCTACACTGCAGCTTACATCTTATACTGGGCCTAAAGTTTCCATCTGTTATCTCCTTCTTTAGTGCAGACATTATCTCCATCTCCTATCTGACACAATGGCTATCTATTTTGCTATGTACTATTTATGAATCAATAGGACCCGTACAGGCCATGCATTGCAGTGGCTACAGCCCCAAGTAGCTTTAGCTTGCTTGTTGTGGTATATAAATGCAGACATTATAAAAAAAAATTGTCACACGCCAAAGGTGCGGGACATGAACAAGATGGTGAAAGGGTCCATTAGATATTGAATGAGGCCAGTCAATGGATGTATTTCAAAGCTACCACTTACATGCTGTACTATTAAACTTCCTCACTAAATATGTGACGTAGTCACAGGGCTGAAGCTTGTTGTTTCACAACACCACGATGAGTTCTGCCATAATCCATTGTTCCTAAAATACGATGTTCACACGTCTCAGAACTCACAGCATGCAGCCAGGTTTACAGCCAACCGAGAATGATGAGAAGGGTTGGAGTATATTGCCCACTCTCGGAAAGAGTCAAAGGCACAGCGGAGGGCAGGACATGGCGATATAAATACATATTTACTTTTCTACCCATGCCTTCGGCTAGAAACATCCGCTATAAGCATCACTTGGTATCGGCGAGGTTAGGATGAAATTTCACCTTCGTCTCATCGCCAACCTTTCCTATCCACACCGACGGTCGTTCTGCCGTCTTCGCTCCTTCGTCTCCTTCGTCCCAAGTATAACTAACCCCAATGGCGAGACGCTTTCCATCTGAGTTGAAGTGAATGGATGGGATGGGAGAGTCGAACTTTGGGTATTGGCGAAGTCGTTTCTTCACCTTGTAGTCCCATATTGACACCGTACCGTCAGACCCAGCGGAGGCGAGTGTATTGTAGATGGGATGGAAGGCGAGCGCGTTGACTGGCCATACATGATCCACATCGTCAATGGTTTGACGGTGGCATTTGAACACGTATTTCTTTTCCTGTGCTTCCGGGGACGGGTCAAAGTATTCAACCGCAATTCGACCCTCCGTCGAGCCCGTGGCATACCCTGTGGATTACGAGGGTCCCAGAGTGATGAGCTATGCATAATGTAGGCTAGAGATGACATAAAGAACTCGCACCGTACCTTGTCGATCGATCATACAAGCCAAGGAGCGCGTCATGAAACGCAGACTGCTGTCTCTCTGCTGTGCGGGGATCTCCATCTTCCGTATGTCGTAGATCCAGAACATTCGGCTCGCCATGCCTACTACGAGTATGTTGTCAACGATGTCCATATGATACACGCGCTCTGGGAGGTCGTGAGACGACTGTTGGGCTGAACTGGCCCGAGAATCCCAGAACCGAACAGTTCTATCCCATGATCCAGTGATTATAGAGTCTGAAGACGGGTGAGTCGCTAACGATGGGACTCTGGAAGGTGCTCACTGGATTCGCGCGAATGGCAAATAGAGGAAACCGCGTCTGAGTGAGGGCCTAGTGCAGTCATTTTCTCGGTTTGGAGATCCAGTCTATGTCATGTAAAGCCTTAAGTCCAGTCATAGAATCAAACGAACACGTACTCGTGGACGTATGTATCCAGCCCTCCACTATAGGCATGGCTATCGTCGGAAAAACAGCAGGCCAAAACGGCGGCCCTGTGCTCAAAGTTGCACTTTTGTTCATTAGCCGCAACATCGTAGAACCGGACCGTCTATGCCAATAAGTCACTAGTTAGCCTCAGCATGACCGAAGTGATAAACAAATTCACCGTGTCCCATGAAGAAACAAGGAGGTGATCAGGATGCTTCGGCGCAAAGCGCACCGACGACACGCTGTCAAATGGCGGAGACACGAGTTCAAATCGATCTTTGAAGGTATTCAGTCAGCATTGATACAAAGGGCCCTCTGGAAAGGATCCTACCACCCATCATTGAGTCGAAGCCGTCGTGCTGCAGTTTACAGTTTAGGCGCCCAGTGAGTCGAAGGGAAGATAGGGGTATTATATAAGCAATTTCTATTTCCATTGACCAAGTCACAAGAACGCATGATGATCGATTAAAATTCTGAATGTTAAGAGTGCTGGCTCGGCCTCTATCCACTCTTTATCTCTCACCTCCACGTCCAAGACCGTTCCTGCACCACATCCATCGTTTGCAAGCAATGTCTACCGAGGCCACCGGCACCCACAAGGACCCTGTCACGGGGGAAATGATCTCCAAGCAGTGAGTATTCGTCGCGTGCTGTGGTCGCTTTCATCGATCTCCGGCCAGGGAACTCAAGCGACGAGAAAAGCAGAGAGCCAAGGAGGCCAGCAAGGCCAGCAAGGCCGCCGCTCAGCCCCCCCAGGCAAAGCCCAAGGCGTCGTCAGCTGCTGAAGAGGAAGCCAAGTTGAACCCAAATGTACGTCCCTCTCACCGTCTTCCAACGGCCTCAATATTCATGCAACACCACCAGCAATACTATGAAATACGATCCCGTCAAATTCTACAACTCAAGGCGTCACAGTCGCCGAACCCGTACCCCCACAAGTTCAATGTGACTCGATCGCTCGAGTCATATATCGGGCTCTACGGCGCGGAGGGCAAGATTCCCGCGGGGACCAAGCTCGTGGGGACAACGGAAAGCCTTGCGGGGCGCATTCACGGCATGCGCGCGAACAGCAACAACCTCCGCTTCTACGATCTGCACGGCGAGGGTGTCAAGGTGCAGATCATGGCCAACGCCCAGTACGTGCCTCTGTCTGTGTGCGAGTACTGACGGCTGAATGAATGTACTGCAGAGACGCAGAAGACCCGGCGTCGTTCCAGGCTGTGCACGACATCTTCCGGCGCGGGGACATTGTTGGCGTCACGGGCACGCCGTCGCGCACGAAGATGGGCGAGCTGAGCATCTCCCCGTCGTCGATGACTCTTCTCACGCCGAATCTGCACCAGCTCCCGTCGTCACACTTCGGGTTGAAGGACCAGGAGACGCGGTACCGCAAGCGCTACCTCGACCTGATTCTGAACGACGAGACGCGGAAGCTGTTCGTGACGCGCAGCAAGATCCTGCACTACATACGCCGTTTCCTGGACGCGCTCGGGTTCATGGAGGTCGAGACACCGATGACGTCGCTGCTTGCTGGCGGCGCGACTGCGAAGCCGTTCGTCACGCACCACAACGATCTAAACCTCGACCTGTTCCTGCGGATTGCGCCGGAGCTGTACTTGAAGCAGCTTGTCGTCGGTGGACTTGACCGTGTGTATGAGATCGGACGTGTCTTCCGGAATGAAGGTATTGACTTGACACACAATCCCGAGTTCACGATCTGCGAGTTTTATATGGCGTACGCGGATATGGAAGACTTGATGGAGATCACGGAAGCTATGATTGAGGGTCTTGTGAAGACGATCACTGGTGGAAGCACCAAGATTTCGTATCACCCGGACGGTGATAAGGGCAAGGAGGGTGCGAGGGTCCTAGAATTAGAATTCAAGCGACCGTGGAAGCGATATGATATGATCGGCACGCTTGAAGAGAAGCTGGGTGTCAAGTTCCCTCCTGGCCAAGAACTTCACACTGAAACCACGAACGCGTGGCTGAGGGAATTATGCACCAAGGTACTGTTCTGTGCTACTTATATCGGTATCTAAATGATGACCGTGCACCTCGTCCAGCACAATGTGGATTGCAGCGAACCGCGAACAAATGCCCGTATGCTTGACAAGGTACGCGATTTGCCATCTCCCAACGCTCAGTGCTGATGTCAGTCACACCGTCAGCTCGTCGGCGAGTTTATCGAGCCTCTCTGCATATCCCCCGCCTTCATCGGTACTGCCATCTTCTATTTTCGTACTTCCTTTAACATGCTCATTCACGTTCATGGACAGTCGGCCACCCACAAGTCATGTCCCCCCTTGCCAAGTGGCACCGCTCTCGCCCGGGCCTCTGCGAGCGCTTCGAGGGGTTCATGTGCGGGAAGGAGTTCTGCAACGCCTACACGGAATTAAACGACCCCTTCGAGCAGCGCCTCCGTTTTGAGGAGCAGGCAAAGCAAAAGGAGCAGGGTGATGATGAGGCGCAGGGGGTTGACGAGACGTTTATCGATGCGTACGTCTTTTCTTTGCTTCATTTCATTCCATTCGCTGGTTGGCGATCTTATCCGTTAATCGGCACGCGCCGTTCGTTCGTTTTGCTTATTGCTTGTTTGCCTTGGTTTTGTAGGCTGGAACATGGACTCCCGCCTACCGGAGGATGGGGTCTCGGAATCGACCGCTTGGTCATGTTCCTCACCGATTCGACGAGTACGAGCACTCATTTCCCTTCCTTCCCCCTCGATAAGATTTACTCATGACGTTCTTCAGACATCAAGGAAGTCCTCCTTTTCCCCGCCATGAAGCCAGAGACCGTCGCACCCGCGCCTGCGGTCCCTGGCGGCCACCCTCTCGCACAGTCCGGCCAGGTGTAGAAAGTAGATTGATAGTGGGCTACGGAAAATAGTGTATTGGCCAGTGTCAACGACTAATGTAGAATACGTAACTAAAGCCCCAGTTTGTCTGGCTTTGGGAAGTTAATTGGCATGGTGTTTCTTGGTTTTCGTATCTCGAGCTTGAGATTGCGTTTGCGTGCAGTTGCTTCAGCAATTTAGGCGCCTGCTAGACTCAGGAGTGATATAGGTATAGGGTGTTACAGGGGTGGGCAGGACAGTCTTCATCATTGATTCCCGACATACATACTGTACTTTGCATGGGGTTCGCGTCAAGATGTCTTTTGGTGTCTAAACTAAAGAAGGAATCAGAACAAGAGGAGGGCAAATGTAGTAAATAAGGCTCACCACTGTGACGACAGTTCCGTCGTCCAGCGTCTCCTTGGCGGTAATCAATTGATAGTGGAAGAATCGGGGCAGGAATACTCTCCAGGAGGCCCAGTACACAACACCGAGGCACATGACAGCTATGCCAACCAGGCAGTATCTATTCAATGATTTGAGTTGAAGGCTGTTAGCTAGAAGATGGAGCGAACTCACACGTAGTATGGTATAGGAGGGGTATCTCCGACTCCATTTTGAGGGGGGAGGAAAGGTGCTATGATCACTGAAAGCATATGCCTTTCGGTGTCAGTACAAGGGGTACATAGATCCAATGGTAGACCTACGGAAGAAGACGCAGGCTAGGTAAAATATGCCGACAGGCCACCACACTGGGCGCATAGTAAGCACAAGGATGGAGGCGAGCATTATAAGGGAATGTACCTTTGAATGGTCTGATAGCATTTGGTCTGGAGTATCGTAACCAGAATAAGCCCTGATCAAATCGAAGGCGTCAGAGCAGTATTCGTTGCTATAAATGGAATAACGAACAATGATAATGAATAAGTTGATTATCTGCGAAGGATATCCTTTAACATTCAGGATGAATGGATACACCACTCTATAAGGCGGGGCGATGATGACTATGATCTAAAGAGACACCGTATTCAGAACGAGAAATAGAATTGCAGGTGATAAGGTTCGGAGACTAACCGTGGGTATCAAGTGAAGAATCAGTCCTGGAAGAGGGGATTGTCCGGTAGGCCAATTCGACGCCCAAAATCGATTGCCAAAGGGGAGCGGCACGCCAGACTTTGCTAGCTCTAAGAAAGCCCAGTAAGTTCGCAGGCAATGAATTTAACTGCCAAGTTCACCTTGATAAAGGCGAGACGAGGTGAAGGTCTGTAGTGGAAATATTGTGTCAGTGCCTCGAAGGTGTGATTATTTACGAACCACAGTGATTGTATTCTAAGAAATTATCGGCAAAGGTTATGATCAGTGAAGTAGAGGGTTGTGTGCTCCACTCACCCCTAAAGCGCTACAAGAAACTTCCGTTTGAGAATCAATGCCTTGGGTACATGGGCATACACACCTAAGAGCTACGAAGGCAGACAAGGCACGCTGTGCCTGCACACCAAAGACATTCTTGAAAAACAACGAAGCAACTGTCACTCCGGAGTTAATGATCTCGTCTTTTGTTGACGCACTGCGAGCAAGTTGGCAAAGTAAATATTAGGACGAATCTAGAAACCACTTCATAAAGCTGATTTACGCGAAGTAACCAATGTTTGCAAGGAGGTATAGGCCAGCGCAGATGCCCAAGCCAAGGGGGCCTGCTATCTTCAAAGTGCGAACTGGATTCTTGACGTCGTTAAGAATGTAATTGAGGTTCGACCACCCTCCGTATGCATTGATGACTTTGAACATGGCGGTGGCATACTATCAAGGCCATGTATCAGTATCGCAATATGGGTATAGATGACGTAAAGATATCCTCGTACATCGCCACTGCTGCGAGAACTTCCAGCGAAGGCATCTCGAAAGTTTGCATGAGGTTCCTGGACACGAGTGTGCCCCGATAGGACCACCAAACCTAGAAAAGTAATGAGCACCTGCTATTTTGAACGGAAAGGTGTGAGGCGCATTTACCTGACACTACAACGAAAAGCAGGAGGAAAACTTTGATAAGTGAAAGGCTCTATACGTCGGTTCAGCGGAGCCCCCAAGTAGAAATATATCTGACTCTACATTCATGACGAGGACACCGAGCCTTGGGGTAAAGCCGTGCAAGATAGTAGCAAAGATGATGACTGGATTGTTAGGGTTATATCAGCGTCGGTCAAGGCATCACAGCGATAGAGATGTTACCGCCTAAAGCTATCCCTCGAACAGCCCACTGATCCGCGGGGCTCCCTGCCGCAACAAGAACACTGTTATGCACAACGAAAAAGCAATTTGGTCCAATGTCAAATGTGTCACCCCTTTGGAACGTACTTGTTTGCAAACACCTTCGTGTTAACTGAATCAACTACGTGGTCTCAAACGGTAAAGAACTTACAATGCACCCTGACGCACTAAAGCCCAACAATAACACGTGGATGGCGAAGATTGCAGTGGCCAGATACCGAGGCGTCTGATACACCTCTTCAAGGTATACCTTCTCTCCACCTGATCGAGGAAACATCGTGCCATACTCCAACCAGACGAGAAGACCAGAGGACGCCAATACAAATCCGAGGACCCATAGCATAAGAGATGCACCCACTGATCCAACAGATCCAAGTATGGACGAAGGGGTGGAGAATATCCCGGTTCCGATGATGGAGCCGACTCTAGCATCCGGGTCAACCGAAGGCCAATGAAGAGCCAGATTGAGTGACCGGGACTCACATGAGCATAGTGCAGCTGAATACGCCCATGTGACGGCCCATACCACCAGCAGTGTCTTATGAGACGGCTCAGTAGCTGTAGTCCAGGAAATAGCCCATGCATGTACCTTCATCGAAAGTCAAGCCTCTGGCGGTCAAGACAGGATCTTGGACAGCGAGCGAGCGCGTGCTGAGTTCCTCAACATCCAGCGCCGAGGGTATCACCTTGTCTTCGGAGAACTTCTCCATCCCCGGGGAAGGTTCGTCGTAGTCTCGTCCTTGGTCCATTTTTTGGTTGACTTTTGAGGGGGGGAAGAGCAAGCAGTAGCGGGCGTAGACGGCCTGCTTCATTACAGTTATTCATATAGATGAAATCACGAAGCGTTAAAAAAAATCCTTACTAACTTCGAGAATAGATAACCCCCGTGGTTCGCCACGCAGACCAGATTCGGGATATCGCATGACCTCGAGAAGTACGCGTGGCCGCTATCTGACTACCTTATAAAAGCATGTCCAAGTGCGTTGCCCTCCTCGGTCATTAATTCGGCCGCACACTGAAAGCGAGGAATACAAATTCAATTGAACGAAACAAAGGATGACTGAAGATCGTGAGGTGGGCGCTTAAATGGAGAACCGATTCATATTCGCCCCTTGACACTAACTCAACTTTTGTCGCGAGAACTAAACGAAAGTATTAATACATATGGAAGACATGACCGCGCAATCGTGAACTCACTAGTGTCACCACTGTCCCGTCATCGAGTGCCTCCTTCCTGGGGACTAGATTGTATCCGAAGACACGAGGAAGAACTACACGCCATACTGCCCAGTACACGACGCCCAGTAACATGATACCAATCCCAACCAGACAGTACCTATCGATGCCTTTCAGGATCGCAACGAGGTCTAGTTAATAGATGATAAACGGCTTACACGTAGTACGGAATTGGTGGCGTATCCCCGACGCCGTTAGCAGGTGGAAGGAAAGGTGCTATCATCACTATGAAGGATTTAACGGATCGATAAAGCTATCGGCAAGCAAAGCGCCACATTGGCCTTACAGAAGAGGGCCGCTGCCAAGAAGAAAACAGCTATTGGCCACCAGACTAGTGTTCAATCATTCAGGGCTGTGATCACGGAACGAGTGCTTGGTCGCAAGGTAAAGCAACGAACCTTTAAACGGTCGAACAGCATTGGGCTTCTTGTACCGAAGCCAGAACAAGCCCTGAGTAACGGTCAGATGCTACCGTAAAAGGATAGCAAGGTGGAATGCTGACTACGACGATGAATACATTGATGATCTGCTGTGGGTATCCCTCGACGTCCAGGATAAAAGGATATGCAACTTGAGGCGGCGGGGCAATAATGACGATGATCTAGCACTGCTCAGCATCGCCTCGGTGTGATAAATGTAGGGACGTACCGAAGGTATCAAGTGGATTATAAGACCTGGAAGTGGGGACTTGCCAGTAGGCCAGTTTGACGCCCAGAAACGATTGCCGAATGGCAAAGGCACTCCAGCTTTGGCCAGCTCTTCAAGAGCCGGATGTAAGTTTTTGATAAAGACGGGACGAAATAGAATGAAGAATTACCTTGATTTATCCGGGAGGCCGCGAAGGTCTATGATACAATCAGTTCGCTGCCACAATATTCAATTATAAAGCACAACACACTACTGTTATAACATTCTAAGGCAGAGATTAAGATTAGCTGTCAGCATATGAAATAGTGGAGATACTCACACCTAGTGCGCTGTTCGACGAGGCAAGATTGGTGGTGAGTTTGATTTTTTTTCGAGTTCGCCGGGAGGACCCACCTAAGCGCGACAAAAACCGATAATGCCCGCTGAGCCTGCGTTCCAAATACATTTTTGAAGAACAAAGATGCTACAGTTACTCCAGATTTCACTATCTCTTCTTTCGTAGCGGCCCTATTTAGCATCCATACACCCAATCACACCATCAATCATCAGCACCGAGCACCATACTGCATGAAAATGCATGTGTATAACTCACGCAAAATAAGCAACATTCGCAAGCAGGTACAACGTTGCGCATATCCCCAAGCCAAGCGGCCCAGCGATTTTCAGCGTCCGAACGGGGTTCTTGACATCGTTCAGAACGTAATTGACGTTCGACCATCCTGCATAGGCGTTGAGGACTTTGAATGTAGCTGTAGCGTACTGTACATGATATTTACGATCAGACGAAAAGACTCAGGGCGAGAATGGGAGGACAAACGAACATCGTTGCTACTATGAGAGCTACCGACGAAGGCATTGTGGAAATTTGCGTGAGGGTTTTGTATGTGAGTGCGCCCAGAAAGAACGACCCATCCTGGATAGTGATGCATTAGCGCCATATGTGGAATTCTGACGAGAGCACTTACCAGATATGACAACAAATAACAGTATGACAATTTTGAACACGGAAAGTCCCTGTACGGAGATGAAGACTTCGACGTGATAAAATTGACGAGCAACCAACGTTCATGACCAGAATACCAAACCGGGGGGTGAAGCCATGCAGAATGGTGACGAAAGTGATGACTGAGAAATATCAATAACTTGCTGGGGTAGAATGTGGTGGGGAACGTACCGCCCAAGGCTATACCTCGCACGGCCCAGCGATCCGCTGCATGACCAGCGGCTATGAGGATACTTCATACCCTGTCAATAAAAATTACAAGAGGGCAATTCGCACACGGACTTGTTCGCAAATACCTATGAAATGCATGCATCAGCGTCCAGGCTTGTAACTAGAGGGGAACAACATACAATACACCCTGACGCAGTGAACCCAAGAATTATTGCATTGATGGCAAATATTACTGTTGCGAGATATCGAGGACGCTTGTAAACAGCTTCCAAGTACACTTTCTCCCCGCCCGAACGAGGAAACATCGTGCCATATTCCAGCCAGACGAAGAGGCCACAAAACGATAGCACGAAGCCAAGAACCCAAAGCATGAGTGACGCGCCGACAGAACCTACAGAACCGAGAATAGACGACGGAGTAGAGAATATTCCGGTTCCTATGATGCGCCCAACTCTAGAATTTTGGTGTGTAAACATAATGAATGAATCGAACCCGTGCCAAACGAAAACTTGCATAAGCATGGTGCAACTGAACACTCCCAAGTGGCGCCCGAGACCACCAGCGGTGTCTAATATGATTCGTCTTGAGAATCAAGGCGTCCAGCAGCAACTGGTTGAACTCACCTTCATCGAAGGTCAAGTCCCCAGGGTTGAGACTTGGATCTTTCGCCGTAGCAAGCTCCAGGGAACGTACACTGACGCTGGCCGATTCAGTCTCGGAGATTCTGGCCTGCTTTTCGGTGGTCGCATCCACATCGCGTTTGTCGTCGGAGCTCATCACTGTAAAAGTGTGCAAGGGCGGCTTCTCCTCAGAGAGATTCAAAGGTCGGGCTTATCAATGGAGAGATATGGTCTATATTTAGGTATTCTCCACGCGTCGAAGGGAGCCGGTGACTGATTAAACTAGGATGGCGCAACTTTAGAGCTTCTCTTCGCCACGGAACCCCATCCAAACCCCACCCAAAGAAGTGGGTACAATTAAGCTAGGAAAGCAGCACAGCCTCAGTTCAAAGGGTGTGTACTGGATGAAACTGGAGGGGGTTGCTGGATATTTTTGACATTGTGAGCGAAGTTGGAAACGATGAATCAAACGGGTGCTTGGCCGTGCAGGCCATGGCGTTGAAGCACAAGCAATAAGGAGCCTCGACGGAAGAAGGAAGATCGTGGGAATCTGAGTTAACCCACGTTTCCTCACTGGGGTTCCTCACGCAATTCTCATCCGGGTACAGTAACTCATGGTCTCGCTGTCAGGACGTCCAAGACACGACTACGCGGATCGCTCGTGGTGTAGGGGAACGTGGCCATATCACACATCAAGAAGGGCGTGTGGCTTTATCCAGACGCAGACGCAATACCACATTGGTTCAATCGTGTATATAGCATCTAGTCAAACAAAGGGAGCGAAAATGGGTGGTATGTAGCTCGTAAATGAGACTATGGTACTTCAGGTATCACCCCGTAAGCCAACTTTTGTCGTGAGAACTAAACGAAATGATGAGTACATAACCGAAATGTTGATAGGCATATAGACTCACCAGTGTGATTACTGTCCCATCATCGAGGGTCTCCTTCCTTGGGACTAGATGGTATCCGAAGACACGAGGAAGAACTATGCGCCATACTGCCCAATACACGACGCCCAGCACGATGATACCAATACCAACGAGGCAATATCTAAAGTACCGTTGAGCATGACAGGCCAAAAAGGTTGCAAACGGAGTGGCGAATCACTCACAAATAGTATGGAAGCGGTGGCGTATCCCCTACACCATTTGCGGGTGGTAAGAAGGGTGCTATCACCACTGTAATAGTTGTGAGTGACCGAGGAAGAAGCAAAACGCAAGGTTCAGCTTACAGAATAGGGCTGCTGCTAAGAAGAAAATAACTATAGGCCACCAGACTACATAAAGCGTTCAAATTATCTTGAACCAGACGAGTGAGGTAGATAAAACAAACCTTTGAACGGTCGGACGGCATCGGGTTTTTTGTATCGAAGCCAAAACAACCCCTACTTAGCGGTCAGACGATGCTTATTACCAGAAGGGCGAGGCAGATTGCGAACCGCGACGATGAATACGTTGACGATCTGGTGTGGGTATCCCTCAACATTCAAGATAAAAGGGTACGCGACCTCGGGTGGCGGGAGGAGGATCACAATCACCTAGGTGCTGATGGGTATCCCTTCAATGAGATGAATGAGAGGAGCGACATACAGATGGTATCAAGTGGATCACAAGGCCTGGAAGCGGGGACTTGCCAGTAGGCCAGTTCGACGCCCAGAAACGGTTTCCGAAAGGCAGAGGCACTCCGGCCTTGGCCAATTCTTCGAGCAACGGAAGTAAGGTATCGGGTTATTGGAGAAAATGAAATGAATAGAACACAAAATTACCTTGGTTTATCCGGGCAGCCGAGTAAGTCTATACTGCGATTAGCGCTTTATCGTGTTGTGCATTGGCCGAGCAACAAACCACTGTTATGACATTCTAGCGTAGAGATCACGGTTAGTCGCACGCATTCGTGATGGGAAATACTTACGCCTAGTGCGCTGTTGGACAAGATCAGTAACATGTTTCCTTTCTTACCTTGACAAAGGACTCACCAAAGTGCAACAAATACTGACAACGCCCGCTGAGCCTGCGTTCCAAACACATTTTTGAAGAACAAAGCCGCTACAGTCACTCCAGAGTTCGTTATCTCCTCCTTCGTAGCAGCCCTATTTACCACCTAATCATTAGCAACCAGTACCGCGCCATAGAAACCTCGTGCATAGGCATGACTCACGCGAAATAAGCAACATTAGCAAGCACATACAACGTCGCACATATCCCTAAGCCAAGAGGTCCTGCAATTTTAAGAGTACGGATGGGGTCCTTGACTTCATTCAGAACGTAGTTGACGTTCGACCACCCTGCGTAGGCGTTGAGCACTTTGAATGTAGCCGTGGCGTACTTTCAAGAGGGGGCGCATGATTAGGGATAATTAGGGGAAGGAGGACAGGGGGACGAACATCGTTGCCACTATGAGAACTACCGGCAAAGATGTCGTGGAAGTTTGCGCCAGGATTTTGAACGCGAGTATGCCCAGATAGCACGACCCATCCTAGGTAGTTTATGAGCCTTGTACGCAGTCGCCTAAGGCAACGGTCAATTACCAGACACAACGACAAAAAGCAGGATGGCGATTTTGAACACGGAAAGGCCCTGTACGGAGGTGAGTGATAACCCTAAGAAAGTGAAAGGACCAAAATGACTTACATTCATGACCAGAAGACCAAGCTTTGGAGTGAAACCGTGGAGAACGGTGACAAAAGTCATAACTGAGCAGCTTCTAATTTATCGCTAAGCCTAGAATTTGCGGACTTACCACCCAAAGCTATACCCCGTACTACCCAGCGATCAGGTGCATGACCGGCTGCTATGAGGATGCTGGACGCGCTAATAAGTCAACAAGAGAGTATGAAAGGGTAAGTAACACACGAACTTATTCGCAAATATCTATTCACGGAATCAAAGTGATGAATATTCATGGAGAGAGAGAACATACTATACACCCTGATGCAGTGAATCCGAGGAGGATTGCAATTGTAGCAAATATTACTGTTGCAAGATAGCGAGGCCGTTTGTAAACGGCTTCAAGGTACACTTTCTCCCCGCCGGACCGAGGGAACATCGTCCCATACTCCAGCCAGACAAACAGACCGCAGAAAGACAGCATGAAGCCGAGAATCCAGAGCATAAGGGAGGCGCCAACGGAACCTACAGAACCGAGAATGGAGGATGGCGTAGAGAATATTCCGGTCCCGATGATGCGTCCGACTCTGGATATTGATCCATGAATATCACAACGAATGCGAACAGTGCGGACGGGGAACTTGCATAAGCATGGTACAACTGAAGACACCCAAGTGGCGTCCAAGACCACCAGCGGTATCTGGCACAATTCATCATTGAAGCCAACGCTCCCAACCGTTGAAGTTTGAACTCACCTTCATCAAAAGTCAAGTCCCCTGGGTTCAAACTGGGATCCTTCGCTGTAGCAAGCTCCAGTACACTAACGGCGGCCGATTCTGCCTCAGAAGTTGGGCGCTGCGAGTTGCAGTGCTCGCGTTGGTATTGCGCTCATCGTCGTCCACGCTCATCACTGTGAAGTAGTACAAGGGGAAGCCTCGGCCTCAGAGACTGAAAACCGTTGGTCTTATCAATGCCCTAAATTTATTTGTTATCCACGGTCGAACAGGTTGGTGACTGATGCTGGGATGGCGCAACTTTGGCACTGATGTTCGCCACGAATTCCCATCAAACCCCGCCTAACGAAGAATGTGTATGATTGGAATCAAATTGGGCTGACCAAAGCTTGCGGGCATAGCGGGTGGGACTGGAGGGGTATTTTGAACTTTTCCGAATCGACATTTTGCATTGAATAGAAATCTGCAGCTCCAGCGGTAGCGTTGGAAGAAGAAAAATCGTGGGAATCCGAAACCCGAAGCGCTTAGTACTTGCCGACGGCCGCCACCACATCCATCCAACAGTGACTACAATGCGACGCTTCAACGACTCGTCAGCGACTTGCCCAGCATCCTCGTGGCGCGCGGGAGCTCTCGTGTGGCAGACCACAGATGATGCATTTCGTCCACGGGGCACCTCGAGGATTCTATACGCGATTCTCATCCTGGGCCATCAACTCATGGCCTTGGTGTCAAGACGTCAAAGACACGAGTCGGCTGCATTTTCTCTTTGTCGAAGGACTCGTGTCTCCTGCGTGCTTCAGGCGTGGTGGCTTGGTATAAATTGCCGTTGGAGACCATTCCAAAAGAGGCTTTCTTCCTTCCTCGCACTGGCTTTCTTCTACCGCATATATCGACCGAAAACGACAGGAAATATTATTACGGTCTGCTGTGGTCGACGACATTCAATGGATAGCCGGCACCAAAGGAGAAGTAATCAATGGCAGCGGTCCCAATTCTTCTTACATCACTCGATTCTTCGGAAGCCGCTGGAGAACGCTCGTAGATCCTTTGGTCATCCCGACTATCCTTGTCCAACATCAGCCAGCAGCCTGGCTCTGTACTGACCAGATGGGGCGTCCTCGGCCATGGCTACGGGTCGCTCGTCCCAGATTGCTCTGATTACCGCCTCCGTGCACCGATACTTCCACGTTGCGTACCTGTCGGCATCCTGCTTCAACACCGTGCTGTAGCCTCGGGACGACGTGCCTGCTGTGTCACATACATACTGATGGCGATCAGCGACAACCCCAGTGCTCGTACTTATCATTACCATGGGCCACCAGGCCTTTGCCGCTCCGATGAATGAGGCGGTACACACATGTACCCACCACTGCCTTCAGCTCTCGACGATGTGGGATAGAGCTACATGCGCCACCAAGACACCCAAAGGCAAACAATGTCTGGCGTGTATATCTCCACACGCGCGCCACTGATACTCATCCCAAGGCGTCCCTGGTCCCTGCATGTACGCTTTACCTCTCCAGGTCTGCTCTACCATTCCCTCCAAAGTCTTCGGCGGCAAGCACTCTTTGAGGGTTGGTAGAATATTCTTTTCTCCTTCCCAAGTACCTTTATGACGCCACTCGTGGGGGCAACGTTAACGCCCTCCCTGCAAAGCTGGATCCTCTGCTACCCGTCCTCGGTCCTCGGGGCTCGATGTGCGGCTTACTCCGTCAGAGTGCCAGCAATGGATAGTCAACGAGCTAACGCTCATTACTTCCTCACGCGCTGGACTAGGTCGTCTTGGTCAAGAAGAATTTTGGAATATATACATGTATTTCCCTTTGCTCCCCATCCCCAGTACCGCCGGCAGCGGACTAGACCCTTGTCAAATCTGGATCGGGTGCTTCCCTTGTGTACTATGCCTTTCCTCGTGCTTGCTTCTCCTAATGCCGTATGTGACCACTATACTAGTCAAGGAGGTCTCGTGGGTTCATTTCTACATTCCGGACCGCCGTGGAACCAAGTACCCCACATTGCCTGGGATATGACATCGAGTCATAGTCTATCGTGATCACGATCGTGGCATCGAGCAATTGTTGTGAGAGGTGTGTAACTTCCCTCGCGCACTCTAACACCAACAGTCCCGTAAGGCAGTGTGTCCTTGTGGACGTGTCTACTCCGGGCCAAGTTTTGTGGTGTACCATCACGGTGTTCGACGAGGATATCCCACTTCTATCGCTGTGGATCCACCAAGTTCATCAAGTTGTCGCCGCCAACATCCGTCTCGCCCTCTCGAACGGCCCCACGCATCAAACCCTGTGGACCTTCACCAAAGCTTTGTTTCTTCTGATCACCCTAGCACCCTGCAACTCAAAACCGCAGGAGCACCTAGAACCATGCTGGCACATCAATTTATCCTCTAATCAATCACTTCGTTTCATATCCGCCCGCTCATGCATTCATTTTGCCCTGATAAGAACACTATTTCCGACTATTTTGGGTTGTTCTTTCACGTTATGCGAGTATGTCTTGCCGGGCAAATGAACGACAATGCATATGGCCTAGCTCGATAATCCCACCATTTCACGATTTGATTCTGCGGTGTCGAGTCATGCTTCGTATGTTCCTAGAGGGCACCAGGGCGAGCGAGGGAATACCATCGACATGTCCACACGAACACGGAGGAAGTGTAGGTTAATTCGGTGATATGGGTGTTTTACCTCCCTCTCGATACGGTAATGCACCGCGACCTCAACAACCTAAAGTATTGCTTTTGGTCCCACTGAGCGTGGTTTTCACCGATGTCATCCCGCCGGTACCTATGTCTTTTATGGGAATTTAGGTTGGATTGTCCGTTCAAACGCCCTGGGATCGACACGATCGGTAACCATTGGCCTGACTCCCTCCTCCTTCCCTCGAATAGCCCCCGCGTTCCCGCCAATCTGCTCGTACAAGTCCACTCCGACCTCAAAACTTGACGTCCCAGAAGTACACGGAGGAGCGACCACAATGGCTCAGGGCCACGGGCGTATGGGCCCAAGAATCAAAGCGGTTAACTCATTAAATCACGCATCACACATGCCATGCGTCCCCTTCCCACACCGCAAACCTTGCAGTTCGAATATTACATTTTTACGGTTTATCGGGCCACTCCTCGCGTCGCCTCTCACGCCCCCTAAGGAAGTCGCTGCGAGCTGAGGTCACGGACCTTGTGTTCAGATTTCCACTTTTGTAATCACGTATATGGTTGAACTTTGCATCTGCGCCGAATTTACGTCCCCATTTTCTGTGGATTTCGCCGCTCAGCGCCTTCTCCGTCCCCACATGGTCCGGTGCAGAAAGCTATCAGTGGATCATGGACACAAAACGCAGAAGCCAGAACCCATCATCGTGTCTTCGAAGTTGTCTTATTGTTGTACCGTCTGGACTCTGATAACCGTGCACGCTCGTTGCTATGACTCAAAGCTTCACTTCTCCTCCCACCGGCTACTCAGTTATGCCCACAGATGCAGACATCTTCGCAGCGCTGATGATAAGAACTGAGCGCCGAGAGTTGAGCCAAACTATGGCCGGCGCGTCAGTCAATCTAGAACCCTTCTATGTCTCATTTCTTGTCTTGTCTCGCACCAACACTCCTCGCTCGTAATTCATTTAAGTATTCTCCTCGGTAAGTACACGCGCACACACGCATTCGTATTTCTTATTGTTGGTCGGAGTCGGAGACTAGAACCCAAGAAATCGAGAACGCGAACATAGAACGTCGAGAATGGTTAAGGCAGGTCTTACCGTATATGGCGCGAACGCCGTAAGTCCGTTTCTGACTCTCTGAATATCTTCCTTTGTTTGGTCTGCTCGGTGTGCACTCGGTGTTCTAGAAAAACGCATGGAATCGATGAAGTTCCTGTGGTGCACTTGCCACTAGAATGCAGGATTCAGGATTAATTGCAGGTCCGCACGTATCCGCACCGTACTGCAGCTGTTGTCGCCGCCGCCGCCACCAGAGAAGGAGAACATACCCGAGAATGACATGTCCGAGATACCGAGTGCCCGAGCGGTGTGGTAACCACAGCTGCGAGCGTGCAGGGACTGTGTCTCAGGCCTCAGGAGCTAGGGGGCTTATTGTTCTCAAATCCGGAACCAGAATGTCTCAGACGCATTGCTGAGGGCGACGGTGACTGATAACCCGTCACCGAGGCGTACTCATGACTTACCTTGAGGTACGGATGACTCACAATCAGGCTGTCGCGACGAGGATATGCCCGGAAGATATCGATAAATATTGTCGATATGTGTTGTAGCTTGTGGTACACGTTGGTATATAGATACGTACGGTGTTGAATACAACAGGGTGGGTGGAATCGTGAAGCAGTGATGAGATTGAGATGAGATGTGGAAGAGGAAGAGAAGGAAGGAAGGAAGTATGGACACCGAAGCTGAATGGGAATGGGATGTGTAGTGCGAGTGCGTGCGTGGATGGATGGAATGCGTGGTGATGTGATGTGGTGATGAAGAAAGTGTATGTATGTATAGATGAAGAGGAGAAGAGAGGATGTACACGAAATCAAGTGGGGGACGCATGGCGTGTCGCGAGCGAGCGAGCGGGAGGTGGGGGGATATTGGGAGTGGGAGGGGAGGGGAGGGGGGCGAAGGGTATAGCAACACGTCTGCGGAGGGGATACAACTTAGAGGCACAATCCGAATCCAAGGAAGTATATACAAATAAACACATAAACAGGGGGGGTAGTAGAACACAGAAGATCGTTCGTCAAACGTCAGTAGCAGAGTCGTAAAGTCAAGCAAACAATGGAAACAGTGGTGGGGAGTCAAGGTAAGGGATACAAAGTCAAGAACGTCGAATCGGACAAGAGCGAAGAGTCAAGAGGGGAATAGAGGCGGGAGGCGGGAAGCGGGAAGCGGGGTGGGGAAATACATCTTGGAGAGGGAGAGGGGGAGAGTGGTCGTAAGGAGGGACTGGATGTCGCTTGCTGGTCGTCAAAGGAGCGGGTGCGTATGGGAAGGGAGCGGAGGGGCACAGCCCCGTGAGTTCGCGCTCGTTCGGAGCGTGGATGTACAGGTATTCGGTGTTCGGTGTTCGGTGTTCGAGGCGGGAGCGGGAAGGGAGGGGAGGGCGGCGTGTCGGGAATGCTGAGAACGGCGTCGGAGAGTTGATCGAGGGGAGTGCGAGCGAGCGTGTGCGTGTGCGTGTGCGTGTGCGTGCATGTTCGGCGAAAGAAACAAAAAGGAAAAAGGCGCACAGTAAAAAGAGCAAGAGCAAGAGTAAAGAGTAAAGAGTAAAGAATACAGCGTATAGTAAAAAGAGGGAAGAGGGAAGAGGGGGAGGAATCGCACTGCGATCCGGGTATGGGAGATGAAGTGGGTGGGTGGAAGATGTAGCACGGTATAGAGGCGGGAGCGGGTATGAGTATGCAGTATAGGTGGTATGAAGCGTGAGAGGTGGGGGGGTATCTCCGTCGTCCGGCGACCCAACGTCGTAGGCATCCGATGTGCTGAGTGCTGAGGGGATGGGTGTCGTGGCGCGTCGTTGGCTCGTAGCGAGTGTGCGTGGGGACGGAGGATGCGGGCCATCAAGGCTTTAGAAAGGGAGAAGGGGGTGGAAGGGAGAGGAGAGGAGAGCAAGACCGGTTACCCTACCCTACCCTACCCTACCCTACGCAAAAGTCCAAAGAGGGGCGAGGGGCATATAAACACGCAGATAGAAAAAGGACAGTCCGAACAATGCACGAACGCACATCTACACTTACACTTACACTTTAGTTGTTGTTGTTGTTGTTTGAGGAAGGAGAGGGGCGAGGACGTAGCGGGTTATTTGATTAAGGAGTTGGTGCAGGAGTTGGGGGGAGGTGGTGCGGAGGTGCGGAACTAGACGTTCACCGCGCCCTGCATATCCGTGTCCATGCCCATCCCCATACCCATCCCCATATTCCCTCCACTCACATCCATCCCATGCGCCCCGTCCCCGTCCACGCCATACTCCGCGTGCTCGCCCACCTCCCGAACGCCCCCGCCAAACTTGGCCGCGGGCGCCGCATCCGCATCCGCATCCGCCGACGCGTCTCCCGGAAGCCCGAACGCGACGGACTGGATCGCCCCGAGGTCGAAGTCGTCCGGCATGAACATCCCCATACCGCCCATGCCGCCCAAGCTCACCTCGGGCACGCTGAACACGGGGTGGTACGCATGCGCATACGCGTCGCCGTGCTGCGTCGGGGTCGGGGTCGTCGACAGGGACTTGCCATTTCCATTTCCATTTCCATTTGTGTCGCCGTTCGCGTTGGCGTGCGCATTGCGTGCGCGCTCCCCCGCGTGTCCGTCGTTCTGGGCGTTGTTGTTGTTGTTGTTAGTGCTGCTCCAGCCGTGGACAGCGACGTCCGCGCCGCTGAACCCGTCAAAGCCGTACACGTCCGCGCCGAACCCCTGGAACCCCGCGTACTCTCCCCCAATCCCTCCTCCAATCATCCCCATCCCGATCCCAGTATACTCCATCCCCATACCACCCACGCCATAATCGCCACCCACACCGTAATCAGCACCCACACCATAGTCACTGCCATACTCACCACCCACACCATACTCACCACCCATCCCCATCCCCATCCCCATACTCATGTTCACATCCGCGCCGCCGCCGCACGCGTTCGCGTGCGCGAGTGACGCATCGTGCAGCGACGAGCGCTCGAACGCGCCCGACAGCGAGCTGGGGGACGGCGGGCCGGACGATGCGGGGGACGCGGAGAGCGCCGAGGTCGACAGCGAAAGAGACGAGGCCGAAAGAGACGAGGTGAGAGACGAGGTGGAGAGCGAGAGCGGCTTGCGCGAGACGCGCGAGAGGGAGTGCGGGAGGCCGGCGCAGGCGGAGGCGGGGGCGGGGGCGGAGACGTTCATGTTCATGTTGTACATCCCGCGCAGGAAGTCTGAGCTCTGCACGAAACACAAAAGAAAACAGATAGCGCGTTCGTTAGTATGGTTGTATGGTTATGGTGTATGGTATATGGTATGCGTATATGTATATGTATATTGGTGGTGGTGGGGGATGAAGAAGAGGGGAAGGAAGAGTGACGAATGGAGAATGAAAAAGGAATGAAGAATGAAGAAGAGGGGAAGAATGAAAAAGGAAGAAGGAAGACGTAGACATACCTCGAACGCCTGCGTATGCGCGCTGGCGGGGTGTCCCGGGGCACTCGCGCGGCGCGCGCCCGAGATCATCGGCACGTCCGTCGTCGGCGACGTCGGCAGCAATCCCCCCATCCCGCCCATCCCTCCCATCCCACCCATTCCGTCCATATCGCCACCTTTGTTCGCATTGTTCGCTTTGTTCGCGTCGTTGGCGGCATTGGCAGTGTTGGCAGTGTTGGCATTGGAAATATTGGAAATATTGTTGGTGGTACTGGCAGTGTTGGCAGTATTAGGCGCGGGCGAGGTGGGGCACGAGCTGGCGGTGTACACGTCCGGGATCTGGATATGCTGCTGCCCGCAGAACCACTGCTGCCCATACCCATACCCTGACCCGGACCCTGACCCGGACCCATAGCCGTGCTGCGCGTGCGCGTAGCCCTGCTGGTTGTTTTGGTTGTTGTTGGTGGTGGTGTTAAGATCGTGATTGTTGAGATCATGATCGTGATTGTGGTTGTTGTGATTGTTGGTGGTGTGGTTGGTGGTGGTGTGGTTGAGATTGAGATTGAGATTGAGGTACGCAGCGGGGTCCTGCGGGAAGGCCTGGTACGCGGACGGGGCGTGCTGGTGCTGCTGGAGCAGGGGCCCCAGCGTGCTGAACGGCGGCGGCGTGGGCGCGGAGGCCGAGCGGCCGTGGTATGCCGGGCGCGTGTACCCTCCTCCTCCTCCTTGTCCGTGTTGTTGCTGTTGTTGTTGTTGTCCTCCTTGTTGTTGTTGTTGTTGTTGTTGCTGTTGTACGAGAGCGGAAGACAACTGGGTGGCGATAGCGTCGAACGGGGAGAGGTGGTGGGTGTACGAGGCGTGGCTCGCGTGAGTGGAGTGGGCGGGCGGAGAGGGGAGCGTGGGCACGACGAACGAGAGCGTCTGCTCCTTCTTCTCCCCCGCACCCGCGCCCGACGCGTCCTGCTCCTCCTCGTCCTCGTCCGCAGAGGCGCTCGACACCATCGAGTTCTTGCGCCCGCTCCCCTCTTTCCCCCCATTCCCCTCCTTCCCGCCACTCCCCGCACCCCCATTCCCCGCACCCCCACTCCCCCCACTCCCCTCTTTCCCCCCATCCTTCCCCCCCTCTTTCCCATTCCCCTCCTTCCCCTCCCGCCCCCCCTTCGCGCGCCGCCCGCCCCTCTGCGGCCTATACACATACCCCGGGTACATCCGCTCGTGCTCGCGCTTGCGCTCGCGCGCGAGCTCCTCCCAGTACATGCGCTCCTCGGGCGCGAGCGCGCGCCACTGCTGCGAGATCGTCTTCGAGAGGTCGGCCTGGCGCTGTTTCTTCGCGGGCGCGGGGGAGGCGGGGGCGGTGGTGGTGGGGGTGGTGGTGGAGAGGGAAGAGGAGAGGGAGGAGGAGAGGGAGGTGGGGGTGGAGGAGAGGGAGGTAGAAGAGGTGGTGGTGGTAGAAGAGGAGAGGGAGGAGGAGAGGGTGGAGGAGAGGGAAGTGGAGGTGGGGAGCGGAGAGCGGGAGGCGGACGCGAGCGAGTGCGAGCGCGACACAGCCGGGGAGGACGGTGTCGAGTTCGAGTTCATGGAGGAGGCGGAGGTGGTGGTGGTGGAGGCATTGCGCTCCTCGCAGCACTTGCGGCGGAACAGTATGAACGCGTTCTCGGGGCGCTTGATGTAGTCCTCGTCGCCCTTCTTCGGGCGGCGCTCCTTCTCCTTCTCCTTCTCGCCCCGCTCTTTGTCTTTCTCACCCCTCTCTTTCTCACCATTGCCCCCTTTCTCTCCTTTCTCATTCCCATGACTGCCCTCACCAGCCTCGCCAGCCTCATCGCCCCTCAGCGGCGACGACACCGACATCGCGTTCGCGTTTGCGTGCAGGGACGCCTTGCTCAGGGAGCGCGAGCGCGCGGACGCGGACGTGGGCGAGCGCGTGAGGGAGTGCGAGTGCGAGTGCGAGGATTTGCGGCGCTTGTGGGTCAGCGAAGACGAGGAGGAGCCGGTGTAGGGCGCGGGCAGTGTCTGATTTGCCGGGTGATTGGGGAGAGTAGGGAGAGTAGGGAGTGTGGGGAGTGTGGGGAGTGTAGGGGGGGAGGGGTGTGTCGGGAGGGCGGGGACGAGGGAGGGCGAGAGGCACGTCGACGGGGAGACCGTTCGCGCCATGCCGAGCACCGACTCCATTCCGTGTACGCCCATACCGCCCATATTCATATTCATATTCATACTCATACTCATATTCCCGTCCATATCCATATCCATATCCCCATCGCCGAACCCGAACGCGCCGGCGTCGAAGTGGAACGGGTCGTGGAGGGTGAACGGCGAGCCGGCCTGGAGGCGCTGCGGGAGGGGCTGGGGGTGCCGAGGGGGGAGGAGAAGGGGGACGCGAGGGGGGAGGAGAAGGGGGACTCGGAGAGGGGGTCGAGGGCGTGCAGGGAGTCGGAGTGGAGGGTGTGGGTGTGGGTGTGGGTGTGGGTGTTGATGGGGAAGGTGAATGCGCGGGGGGTGGGGGAGATGATGGCGAGGGCGGGCGGGGAGAGGGTCTGTGCGGGGGCGGTGGTCACTTCGAGTGCTAGAGACGGGGGGGTTAGTGTGCGTTCAGGGGAGGACAGGGGCGGCTCACAGCGGGACTGGGTATCGCGGGTGCGTAAAGCTGGCATGATGGTGGACGTTGAGGGTGACGTGCGTTGGTTGATTGATTGTTATATGTGGGTGTCTTCGAGTCGGATCGAGTGAAATGTTATGTTATGTTATGGAGTGGGTGACAGAGAAGGGAGCGTAAAAGAGCGCGTCAGCAAGCCAGCAGCAACACGCACAAAGGTCGGGGACAGAGTCACTCGCGACTGGGGAACGAATGTGAAGGGGGAAGAACACGAGACGGGACTCACCTCTCTCGCACTATCTATGTAGCCTCCACAGGCAAGGGTGGCGCGTGGTCTTATTGTTATTGTTATGGGGGATCGGGTGACGGGTCTCGTTCTCGCTTTCTTTTGTCTTTCGGCTTCTCCACTAAGCTAGCCTCCTGTCCCTAGCCCTCTTGTCTTGCGTTGATCGTTGTCGTTGCTGCGCTGTCGACGAGCACTGGCGGGGGCGTCGTGGAGGACACTATGAGGAGGGGGATGGAGGATATACAGGACGAGAGAATAGAGAAAGGAACCGCGCTCCGATCACCCAATCGATCCAGCACTACTTTATACACCCGCTTCCACACAGATCCCCATACCCAGCACCCTACCTTACGTAATCCCATTACTTACCCCATCAGTCAATGCAAGGCAAGTACTTCCGTGCATCTCGATAGCCCATATCACGATGCGATCGATCGAGATCCATCTCACCAGACACTGCATTTCCCGCCAAACACCGTCACACACGCCCACAGTGATGCCCATAGCCTGCGTCTTATTGTTATTGTCTCTCTCTCCCTTGCCCTCCCCTTCCCCCTCCCCAAATGTATCCTGAAGACCGCATTCCTGGACCCCGATGCATGTTCACATTCCTCGATATATCCACCCTTAGATAATACGCAGATTGCGCCCCAAGAATGGAAGGCAAGACCCGACCCGGCGTCCGGCGTGCCCTCCCTTGATACCGCTATTCGAGGTTCGAGCCCCATAATATGACCCGTGTCCCGCCCTCCCTATCGATAATTGGGGTGTGGGATATGGGATACCGAGGGAGTAGTGAGTGAACGCAGATTCAGAGCACTGAGATACGCTTCAAATTGGGTGTGGGATCCAGAATCCAGATGCACGAACCGTCGCTCGAGCTCCAGGTACGCCTCCCCCTTCTAAACTGCACACTGTTGTACACTACGCGTCTCCGGCGTCGCGTAACGTATCCCCGCCCCGCTCGTACCCCGCACACCACCATTCCACCGTTTCACCATTTCCATCCCACCATTTCCATTTCAACTTCATCTACACCCATGTCAACTACATCCACATCCACATCCACGTCAAATAACTACTCCACTACTCCATCGCGCATGCCATTCCTCCAGCTCGTACACGCACTGCGCCCCGCTTCGCACTGCATACATGCATGCATACAGCACAGCACAGTAGATTAGATTAGACTATCGTGCTGCGCTGTGCTCGTTCCGCGACATGCAGCCAATGTTGTCTATATCTATATCTATATCTGCGTTGTACGAATTGTGGAGGATGGATTAAGGAGGATGGATTGTCGGTTTTGAGATAATGCGATAATGAGATAATGAGAGAGCGCAATGGCCGAAAACCAAAAATGTTGATATTGATATTGATCGTCCCATAGCCCGATAGCCCGATAGCCCGATAGCCCGATAGTCCGCGACTCGCAGAGTGACAGAATGAGAGAAGGACCTTGAGCGGAATTGAGGAGGAGGAGGAGGAGGGGGGGTTGGGCGCGTCCCCGAGTCCCCAAGTCCCCGAGGCCCGTTCCGGCCGTCCGGCGTGCTAGTGGGTGCAATTGCCCATATCTAAATCTATGTCTATGTCTGTGTCTGTGTCTATGTCTGGCCGGTTTTGACAGTGAGGTTTAGTTTTAGTTTTGACTTTGGGAGAGGTTTAGTTTTGGGTGAGACGCGAGACGTGGACGGGTCCACGGGAGGGGGTCTGTGGCTCTATGGACCGTACTCCGTATTCCGTATTCCGTATTCGGTTATTCGAATTTCGCATATTGGAATTTGGCGGGGATACATTGGCGGGGATACAAGGATACAGGATATCCTTGTACAGGACAGCGTCGACGTCACCTGCGACAGCGGGCTGTGCGCTACGTACACATACGTCGGCCCGTAATGCATACTCCATACTCGTCGTTCCGTCGCTCCGTCCCCACAACCCCACATAACAGCCCCATAACATAAGAACAACATGAGATATAACATAAGAATAACATAAGAATAACATAAGAATCGCGTAAGAAGGATAACACGAGACACGTTCGTCGCCTACACCAAATCACCAAATCACTAAACCCAACGTAAACTACCGCTATATGACGTAAGTCGCGTAAAACACAAAAAAAAACACAAAATACGAAAAAAATACGAAAAATACGAAATACGAAAATGCCCATATATATTCCGCTCCTTCAATGATCATGATAATGATAATGATAATGTGGAACATTAATGTTAATGTGGAATGTGGAAGTCACTGTGCGCCGGCGCGAACGCGCGAACCTGGCCAAGCACCGCCTCACACGGACGGTCCTAGCTGGTATAGCTCGTATACGTAGCTACGCGCCGCGATCAGCGAGCAGCGATCACCGTTATCGACCAACGACCGACACCCAACACACCCAACACCCAATTGCAACGGCACGAGATGCGTCCTTATCGACATCGACATGAACGCCAAACAGAAGGAGGTCGTGTCACTGCTTCACTGCGTTGTGATCCCCGCATTCCCGCATTCCTGTATTCCGGGGGTTGACGTTGAGGTTAGACGTGGAGTAGTGAGCGCTGAGTGCTGACGGCGGACGGACGGCGGGGGGATACATACAGGCGCGGTCCGTGTAAGCGAGGATAAGGAGATGAATGTGGTATAAGGAGATGAAAGTGGCGGAGGGAAGAAGGCATGATCGGCACTTCGGGCTGTCGGGCTGTCGGAGGGTACACGCGAGATCGGGCGTGGCGCGTGGTGGGACGGAACTAAAAGTAAAAACTAAAACTGCTGGACTCGGAGTGCTGAATATTGGATATTGAATGCTCGCGAAATCGTTTAGATAAACGGGACACGGGACACGGGAAACGGGAATGGGATGCGAATGCGAAACGGGACACGGGACATGGGACACAGGAAACGGGAATGGGATGCGAAATGAAAAGGCACGGTTGGACGACGTCACTCTCACTCTCACTGCCAACGTCGATGTCCTGGATCCTGGATCCTGGAAGCTGTTGAGGAGGGCTAGCGAAGCACACTACACTAAATTAAAGCCAAGCCAAGTAAAATCCAAAGCGTACAGTCGAGACAAGGCACGAGGAAGGAAATATAAAGAATAGCGATTAGCGATTAGTGGTTAGCGATTAGTGAATGGTGATTGGTGAGTAGTGATTGGTGGAGCACCGTACCGACATCCCGACGTGCGTATGCGTCCGCGCCATGCATCATGCACTGAGCATTGAGATCAGGATAGTAAAGAGTAAAGAGTAAAGAGTAAAGAGTAAAAAATAAAGAGTGGAAGAGCGAAAGGGTGGAAGAGTGATGGTGGACGTCCGCAGAGACCCGCGACCCGCGACCCAGAGAACGTTCGCAGAGTCGCAGGGCGGGGCGGGGCGGTGCACGGCGTGTGCTCCCTCCGAACGACCCGACGCACAGCGCAAGTACACGCATGCCGATCGTGATCGAATGGACACGAACGCGTGGGTGATGTGTGAATGTCTGACGCCGACAGGCTGACGTTGGCGTTGGCGTGACTCGGAACGCGAGGTTGGTGTTGGTGTTGATGCGACGGGGAGTATAAGCGCGCGGTGCGGTGCGGTGCACAGAATGTGATGATGGGATACTAGAACACGATGGTCTTCTGTACGGCGTACGTTCCCCCCCGAGTGACCCGACGCAGAGCCTGGAGTTGTGGGTTGTAGGGCGTTGTGGGCGCAGACACAGGTACGTGTGTACTATACGCGTGCCGATCGTGATCGCGTCGTGATAGAGTTGGCGGGAACGTGACCGCGGTGTGGAAGTGTGTGTGTGTGTGTGTTGTTGGGTTGATGTGATGGCTGATGGCTGATGGCAGACAGAGAGAGAGCGCGGCGTGATATGACGAGAGTTGAAAGTGCTGTAGCGATGCAGACGAGGAGGCGGTGTAGGTGTATAGCGCAAGGCGCACTATCAAGGGGAGGTGATGCGTGGAAATAAAAATGGAAATGGGAATGGAAATGGAAGGTGACAATTATTGGACGGCGTACGCTGCCCCCCGAATGACCCGACGCAGACCCTGGAAGTGTGTGTTGTGGGCGAGTGAGCACGATACGTGCAATGATCATGATCCAGCCTGTGCGTGAACGCGAGGAGCCTGGGAGCTGATAGGGATAGGGACAGAACGTGATCGCGGTACGCGGCGAGTGATGGAGAGTCGGGAAGCGCGGACGAACCAGCGAAATGTGCGTGTGAACAAGCGAGTGAGTGAGTGAGTGAGTGAGTGAGGGAGTGAGGGAGTGATGGAAGACCGTGGTGCAGCGTGCGTGTACAACGAAGGGTACGCAGTCTCGTCCGAATAGCCCGATGAGCTGATGAACAGTATGGCGGGCGGTGCAGCGCAGCATCATGGAAGGGTGATGGCCACCGAAAGACAGCAGGACCTGCGGCGTACGCATCCCGACTTGCAAGCATGCGAGATTCAATATTCAACGTTCAACGTTCAACGTCCAACTTCAAGCTTCTTGCCTAGCTTCAGCTTCGCACCTCGCTCCATCACGAACTCGACCCAGGAACGCCCGAATTACCCGAGCGAAGTCAAGGCGTGGCAATCGTGATCATAAAGACCGCATGATGGGAGTGACAGCGAAAGTATACGCGGCGGGCTGGTGCAGTGTATAGGAGGAGATAGACGCTGGCGGGTATACGCGTATACGGCGTGCGCTCCCCTATAATTCGGAAACTCTATCACGAACACAACTCGAGGACACGGTGCACACCCGAAGTACCCGACGGGCAGCATAGGTACG